TGTGTGTGTGTGTGTGTGTGTGTGTACAACAGCTCTACTCCTGCACCCCGGAGACCACCCGCTGATTATGTAAAACTCCTCCGCCTTTGAGTGTCTAAGCACAGCCGAGAGGGAAGTTCAGCATCCATCTCCCCTGACCCTGTCTGACCCGTCTAATCCCGCCGTTTCTCAGGTTCTGATTACATAGATCAGGGACCAGCATCGGGATCCAACACGAGCCCCAATCATCAGTCACTCTGACTGGCATCTGACAGATCCCATGGCCTGCTGGAACCGTCTCCATCCCCGCCCCACCCCGACACATCCACTTCAAAGTATCACAATCTATCTGAGGTTATCTTGTTTATTTGGCCCTTGAACTCCCTGGAATATCAGTTGGATTAATGGACAGATCTCATGACGGAATAAATGTGACTTGATCAATTAAATTCTATGTCAGTAAGCATAGCTTAGCATGTATCATTTGCTCGACGTGTCAATGAGATCACTCCATGTGGTTGTGTCCGACGACACGCATCCGGTTTCGTGATCCATTCCATGTGTTGGCTTTAAAATCCTGTCTTCTTTCAGCACAATCTGGTGCAGCCCATGTATGATGATTTCAACTGTCATTACTTCGTTTTGTAGCTTTGAATACTGTATACCGCATGCTACGTTGTATTATACAAAAACTTTCAGAAAGCATTTCATTTGCAGTGATGAAATATTTCCTCACAATGTTTGGCATTGGATGTTAAAAGCTAACTTCAAACATGCTCCAAGCTTTCACAAAACTTCCACCTGCTTTTAATCTGGCACACTTAGCAAAGTTTGCAGCAATTAGCATTTAGACCGAAACATTTCTGCTTGTCCGTGCCAAAAACAGAGTAATCGATCTATTCTAAAGGGAAATCGTTGTATTCACAGTCTGTGACTGTGGGACCTAAAATCGTCTGTGTTGACAGAAGGGGCTCTGTAGTGCAATGGGTTCTGTTTCCTCGGCCCCGCGGACTGAAGTTGAGGTGCGGACTCCATACGTGACCCAGCTCACAACCTTCTAAGGCATCACGTGTGCTACTCTTGAAGGATTTCCTCTGCACACTTCTCATTGTTTCTGTAGGCACATTCCTTTACTCTCTTTCTCATTTGACACGGCATAACATATTTCAAGTGGCAAACACATGCTGTGTGTCCTTGGTCTCTACTAGTGTTGATGTCTATGATTTACGCACCAGCACCTCCGGGCATTTGGGTATAGCCATAGATAATGATTGACTGAGCGAGAGTGCGTCCTTACAGTGAGCAGCTGAGGAGCATGGTCAGCATCATGGGAAACGATGTGAAGAGCAGTAGTGTCAAGAGATATTTACATTTTTTGATGGAAATATGGTATTCTAATGGTCACTAGGGCATTGTAGGGGTGATGTGAGCTGTAGCTATATGTGGTTTACTGAACAAAGTCAAAAGAGCCCACCTTTAGATATCTAACTGGTTTTAAAAAGGTTTAAACCAGCTCAAATTGTTTCACTGGTCCTAACTGATTTAGTTGGTTTAGTTTTGCAGCAAAGTGATCTTCTAGTCCAAAAAATGGCCTAAACAGCCAACAGACCAGCCTGATTTAAACCGTTTTTTATTTTGTTTCATTTTTGTTGCTTTACTTATATTTGCTTTCTTGTTAGTTTTTTATTTGTTCTGATTTGTTTTGTTTCGTTGTTTTGCTTTGTTTTGCTGCTTAGCTTTGTGTTTTGTTTCTTTGTTTTGCTTTGCTGCTTGATGTGTTTTGTTTCTCTTGTTTTGCTTTACTGCTTTTTGTTTTATGCTGATGTTTGTGTATTGTTTTGTGTTGTTTATTTTTTTGTTTTTGTTTTGCTTTGCTTTGCTGGTTAGCATTGTGGGGGGTTTTTCATGTTCTTTCATTGTATCGTATTCTTGTCCTTAGACTGACATTGAAGAAGGGATCTAAATCATATCTATGGCATTTTTGTGCTTATTTTATTATTCACCAGACAGAAATTTTATGTCTGATCAAAAGTAATAGCATAACTCAACAGTCCAATATAAATATAACAGGATAGATTTTTTTCATTGTAAAAGACTTAGGCCTACATGTGTGGGACCTGACACACATGTCATATGACTGTGCTTTATTACCTGACTCTCAGATTACAGTGCATAAATGCAGTGTGTGACTGCATTGAGCTTCTCTCATGACTGAACTGAGATCAGTAATCTATCTATGTGAGTGTGAGGCCGTCTGAGCTCTGCTGCTTTGTGTCAGTGGAGGTATTGCTTGTGGCTCCCCGTACTGCTCCACATTACCAGGGAACGGTTGCCAGGGCTACCATTTATTAATATCTATCTATAACTTTGAGCACTGTGCTCATTTGAGCAAATAATGAAGACAGCCGCTGGTTCCAGGGGAGGTTTGCTGGCATTTGAGCACGCAAATCTGCATACTTACATGAGTCTGTCCGTGTGTTTACTTTACGAGCTTGTAAATAAGGGTGCAATTGAATACAATATTGCAGAAAGTATGTGCAGTCGCATGTTTGGGTTTATGAAAAAAAGCCGCAATGCCAAAGTATTAACCAGGCAAATAAAATCAACACAATTTTATTTTAAAAGTACTAAGAAGCATGAGAAGAATAATTCATGTGGCCTTAGCTTCTAGTTATAAGCGTTCTATTTGCTTTTTATTTTATTTTCTGTAATATTTCCAGCCTTTTACTGCTTGGATTAATTTGATCAACCATGTAGCCTTTTCATATCACTGTAATACAGATTTCCAAAACAAGCTTGTTTTTAAGATAAATAACTTGACACATGAATATTCAAAATAGCCAATGTTTTAGGGTTCAACATAATTGGAAATTAGCAATGACATTTATGCAGTATAATATTTAGGTATCAAGTTGGAACCGCTAGAGCCAGCAAAAAAAAAAAAAAAAAAACTAATGGTGCAATCCTGCCCTCTGCTGGTTCATTTGTCTCACATACATTTGATGAGGATACAGCTCTCTGGGTGTATGTTGTGTAACAAAATAGAGTCTGTCTTTTTAATCTTGTGTAAATTTACTCACAAGACGGCCCTGATAATGGAGCACTGAAATGTGGAGTCTGTGATTTTATCTTATCGTCTCTGATTGTGTGTGTTAATTAGTAACTGCCTTGGGTTTTATTGTTTGTCATAACATTTGAGGATGTTATTGATGTCACTGGAAAGAATATATATATATATATATATATATATATATATAGTTTTTTTGTAAAAAGTTTATGAACTTAAATTATTTAAAGTATACAGATTCATCATTTGAAATAACACAGCAATGTTTAGTTGAATAAGGTCAATTTTTGAGTAAATAAGGTCGATTTTGACATAATGTTGACCTTGGCGTCATGTGGAGGAACTCTGAACACATAAATGTTGACATTTTGCATTAATAATCTGTTCGTAAGGTTGCAACATCTCTGTGAGGAGGTAAATCTCCCCCTAGCCTGCAAATGACACTGTTGCTATGCAGTAATGAGTTTAGTGGCAGAGAAACGACTAGACATGCATCTTCTCAGCTGTTCACTGGATCTGACTGTGGCACAGTAGATGATTGTCTTCAAAAAACAATCAAGCGACATGCAGTATTATTTGATTTATCTGAGTTTATTGTTTAATAGATTTGAAAAGAAAGTTATTTTTCCTTCTAAATCTACAGAATGTTCTGTGGAGATCAGTAGATTCTCACACTGCTCTTTTCTTTACACTGAAAGTAAAAGAGGAATGGATGTTATCTAAACTGTCTGAAGTCATGTGATACCTTTGGTGTGAGCAACAGACCTAAATTTCAGTTGTTATTTGGAGAAAATCTTATTTTCCACTGCAGCTCTTGTGCATCCTATATTCAAATATGTCAAGACAAGGTCTAACAGTGATTCTCAGCAAACTTCCAAGGGGACCACAAAGTTAGTTCAAATAATTTTATATATATTAAAAATTCTCTGGTTAAATTAGTTAAATTATTTAAAAGTGAAAACAAGCAATTATGTTACATAAGAAAGTTCAAAGGAAATTCACTTTATTTTGATAAAGTCACACTTACTGTACATGTCTACTAACTCTCATTAAAGTGTTATTAGAGTATTAGTAGACTGGTTGGCTTGGGTTAGAATTAGTTGACATGTAGTTGTAAAGTCGGTAGAATGTCTTTTGGGGGAGCATAACAATAAAGAGTTAGCCAGTCTATACCCTAATGAGAGTTAGTAGACATGGAATTGCAAAGTTTCTTAGTCAACAGAATGTTCAAAAGGGACCCTCCAAATAAGAGCATTATTGCATATTGTATTGGCCAATGAGGGCCTTTGAGTAAAAAAAAAGTTGAGAATCTCATTAGTTTGAATGCAGTGCAAATGAGAGTTTTAAATCTACTGCAGAAGTGTATAATTAAATTTGGATCTGTTCCAAAAAGCTGTCATATGTATTCATACGTTTTGTAATATAGTGCTTGAATTGTATGAACTACTTCTATAGTCCGTTTAGGACATTTGAGCTCAAAATCATCCCCATTCACTTTAATTGTATAGAAGAGAGCAGTCTGAACATTCAGGCAACCTTCTGCTTTTACAGTATGTTCCACTGAAGAAAAAAGACATTGAACAACATGAAGGGTGAGTAAATGGTAACATCATTTTCATGTTTGGGTGACTTATCCCTTTAAGTGGACACACAATAAAACCTTTCTTGCAAAACTTCCTGGCAATGAAAGTCAGAGTGGTGTTGTTAGCTTAGAGTGAGATTGCAGAAGCAATGAAGCGGGGTTCATTCTAGACTACAGAATGTTTCAGGAGACATTGGCTATAATTTATACGTGACTTGCAATTGCTTTGCCATGCCTGGGTAAATGCACTGCACATTATAGAAGGGCATAGAGAGAGAAGAGACACCATGCTTTTATTACTGTAGTAAAGATTAGAGTCGCAGCCAAAGTTCCTCCCCCTTAACTATTGCACATGGCTCTGGTCAGGACGGCTCTGAGTCGAGATAATGCAGTGGTTTCAGATAGGACATACACACACGTGCATGGACTCACAAGACAGAAACACTCGTGCCCTGCTGTCACACTCTCTGTGTGGACTTGCTTGGAGCAGATGGTCTAAAATGAGTTCCTCAGGCTGGATACTGGCTGTGTGTCTTGTGGTTCTTGGAGGTAAAAAAAAATAAATGTGTGTACGTGATGGCGACTTTAACTATGCAAGAATGTGACAATCGTGCACTGTATGAGTAAGGCTTTCATTACCATCTGTTGTTGTGTCATGTGTGTTGGTTTATTTATGAGCATACATTTGCATGTCATTAGCCTTAAAAATTAATTCTGCTGTAAAATGTTATTTGTTTGCTCATTTCAACCACAAAACACATCTGTTTACACATGATCATTTAAGGGAGTGTGCGTTAAATGTTCTTTCCTTCGGAGAATGGTGACACGGTGTGTTTTCTAGCTATATTGTTTTATGAGATTTTATGTGAGTTATAATGCTGCGTGTGCTTTTACTGTTTCAATTATATTGACATGTGAAAACATTGTCATCTTGAATTATAAAGGTATAAGTTTAACCCAGCGTTGCTGCCCTTTGGTCAGCATGTGTGCCTACAGTGAGTTGCAGACATGCGGTGCGGGCCGAAGAAGGGCCAGGCAGCGAGCGGAACTGTTCGGCAATTCCTCCGGTACACTATTCCACATATATCCTTACTCTGTCTCTGTTTTTTTTCACTAAATATCCACACAACCGATTCAGCCCACTGCTAGGACTCGTCTTTAGTTTAGAGAGAAGTGGGAAGAGAAAATAATCTGCCATCTCAGAGAGATCTTCTCCTCTGATAAGAGCTTTTTTTAGGTCATGCACATTCCAAATCTGATCTCAGTGTGTGTGTGCATGCGACCGTGCGTGTGTGTGTGTGTGTCTCTCTGTATGAGTAAATGCATTCAATTTGTGGTGTTTAATATTCTTGAGGAGAACATTTTTTTACATTTCCTTGATGAATGCAGTAAATAATACATTTAAATGATTCATTCCTTTTGTTCCAGTATTTGCCACCAACAGCTGTAAACACAACTCTGAGGCTTCGTGAATTGAGAGAGTCCATGATGCGTTTGAACATCTCAGCTTACATCATCACTGCCACAGATGCTCATCTGGTACTAAACTGCTAACCTGTGTCAGAAATTAACTTTCATATTAAAGGGTTAATTCACCCAAAAATTAAAATTCTGTCAGTATTTACTCACCCTCATGTTGTTCCAAACCTCTATGTGTTTATTTGTTCTGCTGAACACAAAGGAAGATATTTGGAAGAATGTTTTAATCAAACAGATCTCATTCCCCATTGACTACCATAGTAGGGAAAAAAATGCATACTATGGTAGTCAATGGGGAATGAGATCTGTTTGATTAAAACATTCTTCCAAATATCTTCCTTTGTGTTCAGCAGAACAAATAAGCACATAGAGGTTTGGAACAACATGAGGGTGAGTAAATACTGACAGAATTTTCATTTTTGCGTGAACTAACCCTTTAAGGGTCAGTATTGGTTGGCCGCCTTGGAATTTAACCATTTTAAAAACAAAAACATTGTCAAAATAAATTCTAATATTTTAACAGTTATAATGAAATGCAATTTATTTTTGAATCGAAAACTATATTACTAATAAGAACTATACATATGAGCTATAAATTCAACACAATGAGAAAGCTACAGGTCTTCTACATGTCTACAGAATAGATAACATATATCAAACAAAATTTTGCCTCCACATTTTAAATATATGGGGCTCTTTTTGTCACTATATCCATTTTTGGTCTAAGCCCTGATAAATGTTTGACCCTCCTTCTAAACCTCAATTTTCTTCATTCTCAATGTGTCAGTAACTGACTGTGATTGTATTGGCAGAGTGAGTACATCGCCCCCAGAGATGCGAGGATGGCCTGGATGTCTGGCTTCACTGGCTCTGCAGGTGTGTTTCACCGCCAAAGCATCATAATATTGCTGCATCACGAATGCATCATTCTCAGTCACATTACGTTTGTCACTTTGGACCTTAACAAATGTATTCTATTCTGTATTCTATTATTATAACTTACAAGAGTATGTTTCTAATTTCTAGGCACAGCAGTAATTACTCAAAACAAGGCTGTTTTGTGGACCGACAGCCGCTATTGGATTCAAGCAGAGAGACAAATGGACTGTAACTGGGAGCTAGAGCGAGATGGTGAAGAGCAAATTATGAGAGTGAAATTAATATTTTAAACTAGTTTTAGAAGTTAAAGTATGAATGTCTTTTCTAGCACATATTACAATTAATATCCTATGTTTTGAAGCATTTTATGATATTAATTACTGCAAGTTTTTCCTGAGTGTTTAACACGTTCCTGGTCTAACTCTTCTGGATCACAGTCTCCATTGGCAGCATCACCAACTGGCTAATCCTGGAGATCCCTGAGGCAGATCACGTGGGCTTTGACCCATTCCTCTTCTCTGTAGGTGAGCAAACATGGCTTCATTTTCTTAAAATAAGATAAGGAATGCTAAATTGAGCAATGCTTTCTGTTAGAATGTTGCTTTTTTTCATATGGTTTAATGCATGGAAATAATGTAACATTGAGAGCAAGGAAGGCAGCCAAAGAGGAAGTTTTAAGAGCAATATAGAGACCACGGAAAACAAATGACAGAGCTAGGAACAACTGACAAACATCAGCAAACACTGGGGCTTATATACGCTGGGAAAACTAAATTAATAAGACACAGATGCAAACAGAAACATGAAAATTAAATCAAACTAAACATCAAAGCCCAATAAAGTTTGACTACACTTTAGTTCAGTAGTCCACTTTAGATCCTAACTTTGCAACTTGTCAGCTAGCAGTCATTTGAGTATTTGTAGACGGTCTTGATATCTGCTCACTTTATTTTGATTGTCCCTCAACACATATTCTACTGACCCAACGCATTCTCATCCTTTAGCGTCATGTAGAACGCTATATGACAAAACGGCGCTATACTACGCACATGGCACCCGTTATCGTTAATATAACACGCGCTGTGATGGTTAGGTTTAGGTGTGGGGTAGGGTAGTCTCATATTACGCTAAAGGATTCATGATGCCTTGGGTTCGCGTGAATATTAACGATAAAGGGTGCCATGTGCGTAGTAAAGCGCCGTTTTGTCATATAGCGTTCTATGTGACGCTAAAGGATGAGAACGGGCTGACTGACCATAACTTTTTGAGTACATGTTATCAATTTATTCTACATTATACACTTATTCTTCTACTAACCCTACTAATACTCTAATGAGAGCTAGTAGCATGTAGCTGCAAAGTTACTTACAGTTTAAAGTAGTGTATCAAAATAGTCTAAACATATTTTTTTAAGAAAATAATATTTTTATTTAGCAAGGATGTATTATGTGACAAGTGAAAGTCTTTAAACTTGTATAATGTTACAAAAAAAAACATTTCTATTCATCAAATAATCCTGACATGAACACCAAATCAGCATATTAGAATGATTTCTGAAGAATCATGTGACGCATTTTAAAATATAGTGAAGTAAAAAACAGTTCTAATATATAATAATATAATATGATATAAATATTTCACAATATTTCTGTTTTTACAGTTTTTTTTATCAAATAAATGCAGCCTTTAAATAAAATATCTTAAAATGTTGATAAGTGTTTGTTATAAGTAAAAAATGTAGTACCAAAAAGGATGATTAAATTCAGTCCTGAATCATTTGGTCACTGTTCTTTGTTACCGCAGACACATTTGGCGTCTACAACACCAACCTGGCTCCAGCGGGCCGGATCCTGAAGTCTATTCCTGATAACCTGGTGGATAAAATATGGACAGATCGCCCTCCTCTGCCTCTTGACAACCCCATGCGCTTACCTGACAGTGTCATTGGTGTGTGCATGTCTTATCAGCATCACTTGACTGATAAGTACCACGCGAACAGCGCCGAGAACCATAAGATCATGACAAACACAGCAATAAAGCTCTTATTTAATCTTTAATGACCAGTGATATAACTTATGGCAGTGACAGAGGGGATATTCTAGCTCATCCGGTGCGAAGAGAAAGTCAATGAAGCTTGATTGAAGGAATAGTTCACCTAAAAATGACTTCATGTAGATCAAAACATGCATGACTTTCTTTTCTGTGGGACATAATAGGAGAAATAACAGGTGCTTGTCGCTCTTGCTCATAAAAGAGGCTTTCAAGCTTCAAAAAGTATTCTAAAATACGTTTTACATGAATTTACATGATAGCTTGCTGTTTTGTGTGAGTTAGGGATAGACAATTAGGATCTCTTACAAGATCATCTTTTAGGGTCTCTGTAAGAACCCAATCAGTCTGATTCATGAATTAATTATTTAAACCCAGTATCACTAAATTAATTTTGAAGTGGATAAATTAAAACATTGGAAAGATTTGACTCAAAATAATGATTCATTTTCATAACAATTCATGATTCATTCGATCTTTTTTGTGTTTGTTCTTTTGTTCAGAGAGGACCTGGCCAATGAAAGTAGATCATATACGAGCCCAAATGAGCGACAATCCATACAAGCCCACCGCTGTGCTGCTTTCAGCTTTGGATGAGACCGCATGTGAGCACCCCCATGCACAACACAATGCCAAATGCAGGATATTTTCTCTGAATCTTCCTGGAAAACTCTTTTAAGGGCAAAGCATTTAAGTTTGCGTCTCTATTTTCAGGGCTGTTTAATCTACGAGGCAACGACATCCCTTTTAATCCATTCTTCTATTCTTACACTCTGCTGACATTGGATGAGATATGGCAAGTTCCTCTGTTTCATATTAACAGCACTATAATTGGTTGGTGTGCAGTTTCTAACTAACCTCCTTTGCCAGGCTCTTTGTGCACATTGAACGTATATCAGATGAGTTGAAGCTGTACCTGAATGCTTCGTGCTACCAGGCCTATTGTGTGCAGCTGATTGAGTACAGCTCTGTGCGCACTTATCTGCAGACCTATCTAAAGAAACCCAATGTGAGGGTGTGGGTGGGTACAGAGTACACCAACCAAGCCCTGTATGAGCTCATCACTCCTGAGGTAAGACCTAGATCCAAATTATAGACTGCTGGTGTGTGCTTGTCTGCTTGGATGCTCAAACTATCTGCAGGCTGAATATGAGAATATTTAGCTGAATATTTGGCCTTTAATGTTATCCTGCACTTCTGTTCAAGAAGTTTTAAACAGTAGTCTGGTATATTTTTCCCATATGGCTTTTAAAAGCCTAAAACACATACATAAATGTAAGTATGTACTCACATCTATTGAAAAAGTTAAGTTATGCATCTACGTCAGGCATGTGTGACAAAATTAGATTGCTATAACCAGTGGAGCTGTTTCTATTTTTGATACGGTGCAGTTTCAGCCACATTATTTTGCCCTTCCAAGTCTGACTGAAAAAAAAAAGTTTTTATCAACAGATTATATATATATATATATATATATATATATATATATATATATATATATATATATATATATATATATGTGACCAACCACTACATCAGAGGAAACAAACAGTTTAAAATTTCAGTTTCGCCTAATGTCACTCCTTCCTGATGTGTAAGGAAAATCGAAGATCTCAAGAAATACAATCATAGACATTATTTGCTGTTGGATGGATGGATGGATGGATGGGTGGATGGGTGGATGGGTGGATGGATGGATAAATGGATGATACTGTGGATGGATGGATGGATGGATGGATGATACTATGGATGGATGGCCTGAAACTATGATTTCATAATGCATAATAAATAATATGGATGGATGGATGGATGATGCAATGGATGGATGGACTGAAACTATGATTTCATAATGCGTGAATAATATGGATGGATGGATGGACTGAAACTATGATTTCATAATGCATAATGAATAATATGGATGGATGGATGGACTGAAACTATGATTTCATAATGCATAATGAATAATATGGATGAATGGATGGATGGATGGATGATACTATGGATAGATGGACTGAAACTATGATTTCATAATGCAGCTTGTGTCCCGCACACAGTACAGATGAAGACAATATTTTACCGCAGATTAACTTATCTTTTATCTCTTATTTCTTTAAGGACAAATTATTGACCAGCACCTACTCTCCGGTGCTGACCACCAAAGCAGTGAAAGATGAGACTGAGCGCCGTATTCTCAAAGAGGCTCATGTAAGAGGATACGGTAACACTTTACAATAAGGTCCCGTTAGTTCATGCATTTACTAAAATTATCATTAACAATGAGCAATAGATTTGTTAAAGTATGTATCAATATGTATCAGTGTTAGTTATAAAATACAACTGTTCATTGTTAGTTCATGTTGGCTCAGTTCCATTAAAGCTGCAGTAACGTTGTCTTATCCTGAAAAGCACATCAGGTCCCACTAGCCCTACTAAGGCTAGTAAGCAGGGCCACCGATGCCAGTTATGGCATATTCACTATAGGGATGAAACATCAGCAATATTGGGGAATATGGGGATATTTAAATTAATTAACCAATTCAGTAAAACCATTGAACAGCTCTACCAAACGTGGATGTTTTTCAACTAAGAAACGAACATTGTTATTATGTTTTAATTGATACTGTGAAGCTGCTTTGATGCAATCTTGTGAAAAGCGCTATTTAAATATACTTGACTTGACTCCGCCCCTCCGTGAGAGATGTGTCGTTCATAATCACTCACGCCACCGGCCTCGCGCCGCTCTCATCTCCCTGTTCCTGTGCCACAATATTGTTTCAGCAACATGACAAGCCAGTGAATTTGTTCCTATGCACAGTACGTGACATTTTATCTACAGGTTAGCGGTTATAGTTTTGACACCGAGTCAATGGGTTCTGTCTCAATTCTTTCTTTTTCGCTTTTCACTTATTTATCGTCATTGGTCTTTTTCCTTTCCCCGTCTTTGTTTTATGAGCAGGTGAATTATGGACAAACTTTAACTAAGAATAACAAATGCTTTAGAAGTATTTTAATAGTTTATGTTAACTAATGTAGTTAACTAATGTTAACAAATGGAACCTTACACACAGTCTTCTCCTAAAATGACTATCATCCTGATGGAGACTGTTTACTGATACCTGTGTTGTATTATCATAATTTCTAGATTGAGGGGCACTTTATCACGCCATAGACACATTCGGAGGCCATACAGGCTCCATTCACTGCAGCTTGATTCAACTCAATCAATGTGTTATCTCTCCTTATCGTAGAACCTCCATAAAACATATTGGGATATTTTTTACTGATGATGTTTGCTGTATTCAATGGTCTATTGACATATTTAGCATAATGAGTTTTTCAATCTAAAACAACTGCGTCTGATAACATGCATGGACAAACATCTTTGTTCTGGTGTTTTATGGCCTAGAGCCAGACCTCATTTGACTGCATTCAGCCACGATGGGTGAACATCCTCTCTGGCTTCCCACAGGTTAGGGACGCCGTCGCAGTCATGCAGCTTCTGTTGTGGCTCGAAAAGAAAGTTCCAGAAGGCACAGAGACAGAGCTCACAGCAGCAAAATTCGTTGATCAGTGTCGCAGGTACAGAACAGCTGAGTAGATTGACAAAACTACTTACAATCATTCAAGTATGTTTTTAGTGTGTACATTTAGTTTAGGGTCCAATTCTCATTTTAACTTGTTGCTTATTAGCATGCATATTACTTAGAAATTGGCTTTGGTTTCTTAGTAATTATAAAGCATTTATTAATGCCTTATAAATAACTATATTCTACATCCCTTAAAACCACATACTCAATACCTAAACTTAACAACTAGCAACTATTAATAATTAGGAGTTTATTGAGGCAAAAGTCATAGTTAATAGTTAGTTAATAGTGAGAATTGGACCCTAATCTAAAGTGTGACCAAACAATGTGTTTTCAATTTTTTTATTTATTTATTTTTTTTTTTTGCAAAATATTTATACAGCTACATATACACATGGTTATAGCATAGTTCTTCACAGTAAATTGTTTATTCATTTATATTGTGATATACGTGTAATTCTCTCTCAAGTTTTTCATATAATCCTATAAATGCTTTTGGGGCTTATTTCTTGAAAGATGTACATTACATCTTACATCTACAAGAATATTTACTTACAGAAACAAACTGTAGCACTCTATATTAGCCGCCTTTCTAAACATTCATTGCAGGCATAACATCATTTACACAAGTAACCTGTTCCTACATCAAAGATACTAATTTAGAAGGTGATATCACTTGTGTTAATCTCTTTGTGGTGTATTACAACACACTTACTTCATTTTTCTGAGAAACACAAACCCATCATTGTGTTTCGGCAGCAAGCAAAAGAACAACAGAGGGCCGAGTTTTGAGACGATTTCTGCAAGTGGACCCAATGCTGCTCTTGCTCACTACAGGTAATAAATATGTTTTTTTTTTTTCCTGCCTTCTGATGTAATTATATTCAGTTAATTTACCTATAATCATTGCACCATTCTCATGTATTACAGTCCATCTACTGAAGCTGCAAGGAAGCTGACAGTTGATGAGATGTATCTTGTTGACTCTGGAGGACAGTACCTGTGAGTTTCATAGTACTATAAGTGCGTAGCTCTGTTTGTGTGCACACGATACATATCTCAGTGTGAGCTTAACTTAAATAGTAAGTAAACTGGTTTCCTTAAAATTTTGAGTTCATTGAAACTAAAAATTTGAGTTGGATCTCTTTCTTTGTACCAACTTATTATTATTATTATTATTATTTTGTTTCCAGGTTAGTTACTATTTAAGTTAAACCAACAACCAACAAATCTCATTCTCTGTTACAGTGATGGTACCACTGATATAACACGTACTGTGCACTGGGGTGAACCCACTGACTTTCAAAAGGTACTGAACAAGCATTGGCAAATGATGCAAAGCATAATTTGATGCTTATATTTAGGCTACTAAAAATAAAGCTGCGTTCTCCCTGTTTTACTCTGATAGGAGGCCTACACAAGGGTGCTCATGGGAAATATTGAGATTTCAAGAACCATCTTCCCTGCTGGAACTAGAGGTGAGGATCTCCTCATCTTCAATCACAATCTCCCTTCAAGCAACCATGTCTTGATACTTCCACAAGAGGGCGAACTATCCACAGCAGACATCTCACACACAGTAACAACCACAAAACCTGTCATGTGCGAACCATTCATGTGTTTTTATTCCCACCATAGGTGTGAACATGGAGATGCTGGGACGAAGAGCATTGTGGGAAGTTGGTTTAAATTATGGTCATGGCACTGGTCATGGTGTGGGGAACTACTTTGGAGTCCATGAATGTAAGTCTGATTCTCTGACATGTTTATATATTTGACTCAGTAATCTTGTTATATAGATGCATTTCATTTGTGATATTAACAAAAGTAAACTGCACTATTGTTTAAAAGTTGGGGTCAGTATGTTGTTTTTTTATAAATAAATGAATACTTTTATTCATCAATGATGCATTAAATTGTGACCAATTTAATGCATCATGTAAAAAGTAAACTGTAAAAAGTGGCAGTTGATTTCTGAAGGACTATGTGACACTAAAACTGAAGTACTTATGCTGGAAATTCAGCATTTGATCAAATTAATGCAGCCTTGGTGAGCTTAAAATAATATATGCTTTCATATTGTTATATCTCTGATATGTGATATATCTCTTAGTAATGTCTTTTTTCCCTCTGGTTTTCTGATAGGGCCTGTGGGTTTTCAGTCGAATAATATTCCTTTTCAAGAGGGCATGTTTACATCAATTGGTGAGGAATAATGATCCAAGCAGCTCATTATGATCCTTGTTTGATACTTAAAGTTCCCGTTCTTCGCGATTCCATTTTTCAAACTTTAGTTAGTGTGTAATGTTGCTGTTAGAGCATAAATAATACCTGTAAAATTATAAAGCTCAAAGTTCAATGCCAAGATATTTTATTTAACAGAAGTCCCCTTTCAAAGCCTACAGCGAACGGCCTGTTTGGACTATACTTCCTTTTTTTAATGACGTAACTAGAACAGGTTTTTTTTTGACTAATCTCCGCCCAGAGGAATACACAAAAAAGGGGGCGTGGTCTTGTTGTGCTCCCACGGAGAAGAAGCACTAATAAGCACTGCGATAAGCTTCTGTCGGATCACAACACAGGAACTGCTGGCACAATCAGAACTCATTACTTTTTTCTGAAGGAGGGACTTCATAGAACAAGGAAGTCATTGGGCCGTTTTTTGGACAGTGAAAACAGCCGTATACAGATAGTAAATTGTTTGAAAAATACAGTGTTTTTTTACACGCGAAACAAGAACACATGTTATATTGCACACTGTAAACACAAAGCTTCAAATAAGCATGAAGAATGGGACCTTTAAAGTTCTCTTACGAGAGGTTCTCTCGTACTGCGTAATATCTTGTGCTAGGGGAAAACGTCTTTTCCACGAGACACTGAAGCTAAAAATTACCCTTAATTTTGAATTAATGTAAAACGCGTTATGCCAGTATGCAGACATAGGCAAGATGGCTTGCGTGCCTATTGGCTGTCCTGCGGCAACTGCAGCAGCATATTGAGAGGCCCTTGGTGACATCAAATCCAATGGGGGCACTTCACGCCCACTACGTCACGTCCCAACAAAATCTTTGCCGTGCCTGCAACACGCTCTGGTTCGCTTCGGCGATGAAAAACCAGATTATATCAACCCATCGAGCTGTATTTATAGGCCAAGGCCACGGCCATATTGGCAGGACGTGACGTAGTGGGCGCAAAGCACCCCCATTGGATCTAACGTCACAAAGGGCCTCTCTCGATAGGCTGCTACAGTTGCTGCAGGACAGCCAATAGGAATGCGAGCCGTCTTGCCTATGTCTGCATGCTGCATTTTACATTCATTCAAATTTGAGGATAATTTTTGGCTTCAATATCTTGTGGAAAAGAGGTTTTCCCCTAGTTTGAGATATTACACAGTACTCGTTCCCTCTTCTAGAGAGAACCGAGGTTACATCAGTAACCGGCATTAGTAACCATTAGTAAACTCTCCTTTAGAACCTGGTTATTACAAGGAGAATGACTTTGGTATACGGATAGAAGACATTGCTGTCATTGTTCCAGCTACTACAAAGGTACATCCAACTAATTTGAATCCAGGACTATGTAAATTAAGTGCAACTATACCCAAGTGAAATAATAATAATATGTGAATTTTTTTTCTCTGTTTTTCCCTACTAGCATAGCAGTAATTACCTGACATTTGAAACAGTCTCATTGGTGCCTTATGACAGAAAATTAATAGATGCATCTCTTCTGAGTCCTGAGCAGGTATTTGAAATAATACCAGTATTAATCTTTCTGTATTATATATTACTATTTTGGTAACACTTTATTTTAAGGTGACGTTACTATATGTACTTACTATAATAATAACAGTAATTTCAAGTATCTAATCCTAAACCTCACCTTAGCCAAACTCTTTAGTACAGTTAATTAGTATTATTACTCAGTACTTATTTAAGTGAGTACAATGTAAAGCTTCCTTTTACAGTCCAGTTACCCATGTAAATACTATGTACTTATTTTAGTAACTACAATTACTGGGTAATAACTAGTAATAACCCTGAACCTACCCCTAAACCTACCCCTGTTCCATGTACTTGCCTTATATTAGCCAGTACTTTCTAGGTAAGTAAACTGTAAGTACACTGTAAGTACTTTACTGTAAAAGGAAGCGGTACCAAAATAAAGTGTAACCCTATTTTTTTATATAAATTTAGTTTACTTTCATAAGTTTACTTTCACACCATAATCAATTTTGTTACTTTTGGGATGTGTGCGTTGGGTTCTATTTGGTTTCCATTTGTTTCCAATACAAAATCTGGGTAGTGTAGTGAACCAGTTAAAAAACACAGCTTTGTGTGTTTAAAGATATGTTGTTTTCTAGTGTTGGTTTCCTTTGAAAAAATGCCCACAGACTCTCTTCACTAGAAATACATCTTGGGAGGGGGGTTGTGGGTTCGCTGAAAATTAAAACGCCTTATTTTTACTTTCATAAACAAAAATAAATTGTTGATTTCAATTATATCTGGAGTGTAGAATATGTTTTATTCTTTGTTGTTGTATTTTAGCTGCACTGGCTGAACTCGTACTATGAGACCATCCGGACCGTGGTGGGTCCCGAGCTACAGAGGCAGCAACTGAACGAGGAGTATGACTGGATGATGAAGCACACGGCACCTTTCCTTACAGCTGGAGCTTCAGCTGTCATTTCCTCTGTCACACTGTTAGTAACAGTGCTGGCTTCATTTGTGCTATAAATACTGAAGAGCTTATACTCAGCATTCAGTACTGCCTCTGCTCCTACTGTGGGCTGGTAGGCCTACAACAAACCAACTTTCAGGCACAAACTGAAAAGCTTTAATGTTGAATAGGCTACAGTACTTAAAAAATAAGTGTGTCTCTTTCTCTCTCAGTCTCTCTCTCTCTCTCTCTCTCTCTCTCTCTCTCTCTCTCTCTCTCTCTCTCTCTCTCTCTCTCTCTCTCTCTCTCTCTCTCTCTCTCTCTCTCTCTCTCTCTCTCTCTCTCTCTCTCTCTCTGATCTGGTTATTTTAGGCCATTTTCAATATATTTACCAGACCTCTTTAGGATTTAGTCTATGTTAATATAAACTAGTATTGTATAATGTATTTTATGACAAAGTTTTTGCACAATTTTTATTTAATTTAAAAATAAATAAATTGCTGGTAAATGTATGCAGAATATATGTTAAGACAAACATTGATTTACAGATACTACAGTATCTCCACTACATTAAGATTTCTTTTGTTCTATGTTTTCATACTTAAAGGGGGGGGTTGATTGCAATTTCACTTTTTTCATTTTAAATAGTGTGTAATGTTCCTGTTGGTGCATGAACAGTACCTGCAAAGTTGCAGCGCTGAAAGTTCAGAGATATCTGCTGTGTCCGAAATCTCCACTCAAACCACTATACTCCCTACAACCTACATAGCAGAGCACTATATAGTGAGCTCACCAGCATAATCCACAAGTTTCCTACGCCCCATGAGGCCTTGCGTCAAAAGTGGGCGCGACTTCCGGTTCGAAGTAAACAAAGCGCGATTTGACATGCTTGACACTCGTTCATTCAACAGTTGACAGTCATTCGAGTTATAGCGATCCAAACTAGCTAACGATGTGGGAACACAACCTCAACGAAATTCAAAAGGGTGAAATAACAGTATTACCCTCTGCAGTAGTTGATTGGGAATATTATAATAACATTTTTAATAATCAATACTCATCAAGGCATGGTGACAGACAGTTGTGCGAGCTGACAAACAATTAAAATAAAAAATACACACTTAGTCATTGTGCTTTGGAGTTTATTCAAAATTATAAATGAATGTGCTACTTGAATACATTAACTGGCACATTTTGTATTCTGTCAACACAGGCTTTGATCCTGAGTTTAGTGTAACATCAGTAGCGAACAGCCAAACACATGCTGATAGACTTTATAGAATATTAAGAATTTAAACAATGTACACAGGAAGATTCGTCATCTTTTGGGAGGTGATGAAAACTACAGTCGTTGGCAGGATCAGAGACGGGCTCTGGCAGGATCACTCTGATTTCGTTTTCAGCTTATGTTCAAAACGATCACGTTTAAGCCACTGAATTAGTTTAGTCCAGTTATACATACAACCGCGAACAGCACATGTTGTCCCTGAGCTCCGTAACGACATCTCTCATAAAGATTTTTAAAATATTACATTACATTATATTGAGCATTTCTCCAAAATTAAAAGTCATTTCTGGCTGTTTCTGTTATAATGTGCTACTCCACACATGTTTATAACTTATTTTTACGATCAGCGCAATGCATGGTAGTATGTAGGGCTTTAGTGACCATCGGTTGTCTTGGTTGCAGTTCCATTAGAATTCCACTGGAGGTGATCGCGGGCGAGTGCAGAATGAATGGGAGTCTATGAGGCTAAATGGCTAAATGTGTCTCTTTCACCTGCTTGTCTTTAAATCAAAATAGATTTTATTGTTGATTCCGCAAGTTCAATATAGATTATAATATAGAATGAGTACTTATGTCCTTTTGATTTCTTACAGGTTAGGCTGTTGTTGGCCGGAACACGCCAGCATTCAGCTATTGTGTGACGTCATCACATTTTTGAACTGATTTTTAGAACAGATAAGTGAACTTAAAAATGCAATTTTCAGCTGAGTGTATTTTCTTAGCCCTCCCTTTTGAATGCAACTTTCAAATTACTTGACAAAAAATTACACCCTGAGAAAAGTGGATTTCTGGGGGTGAAACCCCATTGACTCCCATTTATTCTGCACTCGACCGCGAGCGCCCCCCGCATGGACAGAGACGCGTTACTGCAGCGAGTCCAGAACACGGAAGTAACCAGCCAGTGCCAATCCATTAGACATTCTCTGCTAGAGGTCTATTTGTGAAACCCCTGTAAATACACACACAGTTATCTGGTGCACATGTACAGTTAGGACAGGTATCTGACGTGAAACCCCTGTAAAAACACACAGGTATCTGATGCACATGTACAGTTAGGACAGGTATCTGACGTGAAACCCCTGTAAACACACACACAGGTATCTGATGCACATGTACAGTTAGGACAGGTATCTGACGTGAAACCCCTGTAAACACACACAGGTATCTGATGCAGATGTTAGGACAGGTATCTCGCGTGAAACCCCTGTAAACACACACACAGGTATCTGATGTAGATGTACAGTTAGGACAGGTATCTCGCGTGAAACCCCTGTAAACACACACACAGGTATCTGATGCACATGTACAGTTAGGACAGGTATCTGACTTGAAACCCCTGTAAACACACACAGGTATCTGATGCAGATGTACGGTTAGGACAGGTATCTGACGTGAAACCCCTGTAAACACACACAAAGGTATCTGATGCAGATGTTAGGACAGGTATCTCGCGTGAAACCCCTGTAAACACACACACAGGTATCTGATGCACATGTACAGTTAGGACAGGTATCTCGCGTGAAACCCCTGTAAACACACACACAGGTATCTGATGCACATGTACAGTTAGGACAGGTATCTGACTTGAAACCCCTGTAAACACACACAGGTATCTGATGCACATGTACAGTTAGGACAGGTATCTGACGTGAAACCCCTGTAAACACACACACAGGTATCTGATGCACATGTACAGTTAGGACAGGTATCTGACTTGAAACCCCTGTAAACACACACACAGGTATCTAATGCACATGTACAGTTAGGACAGGTATCTGACGTGAAACCCCTGTAAACACACACACAGGTATCTGATGCAGATGTTAGGACAGGTATCTCGCGTGAAACCCCTGTAAACACACACACAGGTATCTGATGCAGATGTACGGTTAGGACAGGTATCTGACTTGAAACCCCTGTAAACACACACACAGGTATCTGATGCAGATGTACGGTTAGGACAGGTATCTGACGTGAAACCCCTGTAAACACACACACAGGTATCTGATGCAGATGTTAGGACAGGTATCTGACTTGAAACCCCTGTAAACACACACAGGTATCTGATGTAGATGTACAGTTAGGACTATCTCGCGTGAAACCCCTGTAAACACACACAGGTATCTGATGCAGATGTACAGTTAGGACAGGTATCTGACTTGAAACCCCTGTAAACACACACACAAGTATCTGATGCAGATGTTAGGACAGGTATCTGACGTGAAACCCCTGTAAACACACACACAGGTATCTGATGCACATGTACAGTTAGGACAGGTATCTCGCGTGAAACCCCTGTAAACACACACACAGGTATCTGATGCAGATGTACAGTTAGGACAGGTATCTCGCGTGAAACCCCTGTAAACACACACACAGGTATCTGATGCAGATGTTAGGACAGGTATCTGACTTGAAACCCCTGTAAACACACACAGGTATCTGATGCACATGTACAGTTAGGACTATCTCGCGTGAAACCCCTGTAAACACACACAGGTATCTGATGCAGATGTACAGTTAGGACAGGTATCTGACTTGAAACCCCTGTAAACACACACACAAGTATCTGATGCAGATGTTAGGACAGGTATCTGACGTGAAACCCCTGTAAACACACACACAGGTATCTGATGCACATGTACAGTTAGGACAGGTATCTCGCGTGAAACCCCTGTAAACACACACACAGGTATCTGATGCAGATGTACAGTTAGGACAGGTATCTCGCGTGAAACCCCTGTAAACACACACACAGGTATCTGATGCAGATGTTAGGACAGGTATCTGACGTGAAACCCCTGTAAACACACACACAGGTATCTGATGTAGATGTACAGTTAGGACAGGTATCTCGCGTGAAACCCCTGTAAACACACACACAGGTATCTGATGCACATGTACAGTTAGGACAGGTATCTGACTTGAAACCCCTGTAAACACACACAGGTATCTGATGCACATGTACAGTTAGGACAGGTATCTGACGTGAAACCCCTGTAAACACACACAAAGGTATCTGATGCAGATGTTAGGACAGGTATCTCGCGTGAAACCCCTGTAAACACACACACAGGTATCTGATGCACATGTACAGTTAGGACAGGTATCTCGCGTGAAACCCCTGTAAACACACACACAGGTATCTGATGCACATGTACAGTTAGGACAGGTATCTGACTTGAAACCCCTGTAAACACACACAGGTATCTGATGCACATGTACAGTTAGGACAGGTATCTGACGTGAAACCCCTGTAAACACACACACAGGTATCTGATGCACATGTACAGTTAGGACAGGTATCTGACTTGAAACCCCTGTAAACACACACACAAGTATCTGATGCACATGTACAGTTAGGACAGGTATCTGACGTGAAACCCCTGTAAACACACACACAGGTATCTGATGCAGATGTTAGGACAGGTATCTCGCGTGAAACCCCTGTAAACACACACACAGGTATCTGATGCAGATGTTAGGACAGGTATCTGACTTGAAACCCCTGTAAACACACACACAGGTATCTGATGCAGATGTACGGTTAGGACAGGTATCTGACGTGAAACCCCTGTAAACACACACACAGGTATCTGATGCACATGTACAGTTAGGACTATCTCGCGTGAAACCCCTGTAAACACACACACAGGTATCTGATGCAGATGTTAGGACAGGTATCTCGCGTGAAACCCCTGTAAACACACACACAGGTATCTGATGCAGATGTACGGTTAGGACAGGTATCTGACTTGAAACCCCTGTAAACACACACACAGGTATCTGATGCAGATGTACGGTTAGGACAGGTATCTGACGTGAAACCCCTGTAAACACACACACAGGTATCTGATGCAGATGTTAGGACAGGTATCTGA